ACACATGAGGATGTTGAGGTCTCACTACCAATTTTGAGTTGTACTACCCTGGGTCCTGTCTCCTTGGAACTTAGAGCCCAGTGGTGACAAGGACCCATCGCTAGAGAGTGAAAACTCAGAGTGGGCAGGGCTGGGACAGGGGAGCTGAGGGGCTAGGAGTCACCAGAGGATGGGTAGCCCAGTCTCAGGAAGGCTTCCTGGAGGAGGGGACGGCTCAGTCTTGACCTGAGTGTGAGTGGCATTAACCAGTAAAAGAAGAAAGACTCAGGTGTCAGGACTTTGTCCTGGAGACTACAGGGAGCTGCTTCGGGTGTGGTGCTGGTTAATCATCAGTGGGTAAAACTGGACCAGGGAGCATAGCTTTCACTTCCTTTCTTACGTCCTGAGAAGCCTCTGGAATTTTTCCCTGAGAAAGAAAGGGAACAACCGTTGTGAGGTCACTTCACCTTGAGTGGACGTGGCATGGGGTGGGGGCCTAGTAGAAGAGGCAGGACCCATTCTAGTAGCCAGCCAGCAATGGGGAAGGATGGGGTGGTTGTTTTGGGGAGCAGGGGAAGAGGGGGGCCCTTTTCCAATTTTTTGCAAATTAGAGGCAGCACCAACACCCCATTCTCTGTCCATCCCCATGATGGCACCCCAGAGAGGCCGCGACAGGGCTTGTCTCTGCTATTTCCCATGAGACTTAGCAGCAAGGAAGCCTTGCCCTGCATGTAACACTCTGTGGCTCTCGGCTTCCAATGCAGTAATTGCTAATCAGGGGTGGCCTCCTAAGCCCAGGACACGGATCAAAACTGCTGCCATGAATAACTTTTTAGCCACATGGCTTATTTCCACTTAACCATCGCCAATGTTTTTAGGGTTCTTTACAGGTGAGAAAAAGGAGACAAGAGAATTAATAAATTGTGCTTGGGATTGTCAGCTGTTAATTGGTGAACCTGAAATTTGAAGCAAGGGAGTTGTAAATGGAGATCCTGCTCTCACCCAGTCCTTCCTGACCTTCCTCTTCCTGTGCTCCTCCCTCTACTTCCCCCTCTCTCTCCTCTCACAAGTTCCTTGTGTCTGGCCCAGCAAATTGGCCTGTAGGAAGTAGAGCACTAACATCATCACGCAAGCAAGAAATGACATGGGCGGGGTGACTCAGGACAGCTCGGCTAGCCAGTGCAAAGGGCTGGACACATTGAGAGGCCAGAAGATTCAGAATTAATAATAATATGTTCATGTATAATTGAATGAATCAGTGAACAAATGAATGAATAAGGCTAGGCCCTTATCTGGATAGATCACCCCTATCTGGATAGCCCCCTATTTGTGGCTCAAACAGGAAGAGACAGAACAATGCTCCTATTTTTTTTTCCACGGGGGTAGGAAGAACAAGGAAATCTATTGATTTTTCTTTTTTTTTTTTAAAGATTTATTTTTATTTATGCACACAAGAACTGGGGTGTAGGCCAGAGGTGTGAGGAAGGACTCACCAGAGACAGAGTGGGGAGCAGAACAGGCGGATCCACTGAAATACACTGTTGAGGGGAGCAGCGGGAGAGACAGGAGAGGTCTGCTGTGCCATGTGGGTAGCTCCCTGGCCAGAGATCGAACTCATGCTACAGTGGCTGCTGATAGCTTCATAGTGCTGAGACTTTAACCCCTGCGCCACCAGGCAGGCCGTCTATTCATTTTTTCTTGATTAGACAAGCTTCCAGGTGATTCTTTGGGATGGAGAGGTTGGAAAACCATGTCTAAGGAACTCTAAGGGGCCAATATCCATTCACCAACTCACTCTTTCAATAACTATTTCAGCACTTGGGTGAAGGAAACTTGAGAACTGACTCCAAGCTTCAGGGAATTTAGGGTATTGACAGAGAGACACAGGAAAGCAAGCAGTTATGTGCAACCCACCTTCCAAACCGTTGCTCCTCCCTTGTGCCTACTTTAGTCAACATCACCTCCTTCTCCCCTCAGAACCTAGGAGTCACTTGTGAGAAGGACAGATTTTTCTCATGCCACATATCCAATCTGTCAGCCGTACCTGGTTGTCAACCTTCAAAATACTTTCAAATCCAAACACATCTCTTTCCTCTCCCCTGACAGAGGAAGGAGCCTCTGTGACCAGCTCCCTGAGGTGTCCCTTACTTCCCCAATGGGCTCCCTATCTCAACCCTCACCCCACTTAGAGCTTGTTCCACACGCAGTAACCAGAGGGATCCTGTTAAATCAAATACAATAACATTCTTTTTAAAAAAAGATTTATTTATATATGCAAACAAGAGCTGGGGTGTAGGCCAGAGGTGTGGGGGGTGAGAGGATTCGCTAGACACAGAGTGGGGAACAGAACAGGCAAACTGACCGAAGTACACTGCTGAGGGGAGCAGCAGGCTAGTCAGGAGAGGTCTGCTGCGCCATATGGGCAACTGCTCCCTGGCCTGCCCAGGAATCGAACTCATGTTGGAGAGGCTGCAGACAGCTTCATGGGTTGCGTCTTAACCCCTTGCACCCCCAGGGAGGCCCTACAATAACATTCTTAGCTCAAAACTCTGCAGAGTCTTCCCATCTCCATAAAAGGTAACTAACGTGACTTACAAGGTCCAGTAATATAATCACATGTTCCTTTTTTTTTTTTAAACATTTACTTATTTATACAAGCACTGGGGTACAGGCCAGAGCGTGGGAGGATGAGAGAATTCACCAGAGACAGAGAGGAGAGCAGAACAGGCAGAGGGACTGAAGACACTGCTGAGGGGAGTAGTGGGTGAGACAGGAGAGGTCTGCCGCGCCATGTGGGAATCTCCCTGGCCGGTGGGGATTTGAACCTGCGCTTCAGAGGCTATGGACAGCTTCACAGCACAGCGCTCAACCCGCTGCACCACAGGGGAGGCCCTATAATCACATATTCCCTAATGATATGTTGGTCAAGGAAGGGCCTCATGTGCAACAGTGGCCCCAACAGACTGTGCCATCTAACCTAGATCAAAATCACCTGCTGCACATTTCTTAGTCTGTATTCCTGTAGCTAAGCGACACATGACTGTAACTGACTCCTTCAGGTCCCTCTGAACTATTCCTTATTCTCCACAGAACTCTTTCTACTCTAGCCACACTGGGCCTTTTGCTGGTCATCCAGTCTTCAAGAAGTTTTCTACCTCGGGACCTTCCTACTTGCTGTTTTCTGCCTCAGGGCCTTTGCACTTGCTGTTCCCTGTGCCCGAAATACATATCCCCAGGCATCTGCAGAGTCTAGTTCAGTAGGTCTCCAATTAAACTCACCACCTCAGAGATGTTTTATTCTCTCAGACAGTTTCCACTAGATTTTGTGCAGACAGAACACCATCCCCATTTCTGTCGCTGCTGAGGAGTCAGATGCCCAGTAGGTAAGAGGCAGAGTATGGGGTGTGAGGTGGGCTCCAAATCTGAAATCCAAACCTTGGCGGGGGATGGGACAGCTCTGACCATTATGAGAGGAAACTATTGGAGTCACCATAGTGCGGGAAGCCCTAGGTGGTAGAGGGAAACCCCAGATGATGACAGTATGATCACAGCAGCAGCCAGTTTCCTGATTCAGAGATAACTCAGCGCCAGAACAGGGAAACCAGAAAATTCACAGATTTTCCAGAAGCCAAATGCTGTGTTTCCATTCAGAAAAATTTACTTACAGGGGTCCTCCCTGATGGCCTAGGGGTTAAGTCTCACCGCTATCACCGCTGCAGCCTGAGTTCTATTCCCTAGCCAGGGATCAACTCACATGGCGCAGCAGACCTCTCCTGTCTCGCCTGCTGCTCCCCTCAGCAGTGTATTTCAGTAGATCTGTCTGTTCTGCTCCCCACTCTGTCTCTGGTGAATCCTCTCACCCTCCCACATCTCTGGCCTGTACCCCAGTTCCTGTATACATAAATAAATCAATCTTAAAAAAAAAAAAAAGCGCACTCCAAACTGGCCAAAGTCCAAAGGAGGAATTTTCTAGAAAGATAAAAAGATGTCACAGAACAAGGATCAAAGCTGTTAGTGGACCTGGTGAGGACCATGGCCAGGATGGACACTACTGGGGACAAAGGAGTCTCCCAGGTTCTGTCTGAGCCTGTGGCATCTGGGTGTCTCTATTGTCCAGTTCTCTCACCTCACGGTCAGTCCTTGTGCCTCTGTCTCCTCTCTCTGATTCTCATCTTCTGTCTCTATGTTTCTGTTTCTCTTCCCCTCCCTCCCCACCCTTCTATGTTGTTCCTCAACCACTATCACCTGCAGACACCACAGTGTTGTGTGTATTAAATTGTTGACGGTGTGTTTCCCCCAGGGGAAGGTGAGCTTCACGAAGGCAGGGGCTTTGTCTGTCTTATTTTCTTCAGCGTCCCCAGTGCCTCGAACACCGCCTGGCTCCATAACTACGTTACAGGGAGAATCGATGAATCAGCCTTATCATCATTAGCATCTGGCGATAACTGCAAAGTACCAATAAAAGCGGTTGCTGTGATAACATCTGTTGGTGGAGTGCAAAGTGTACACCAAGAATCGGGCTAAGTAGTTGCTTGGGCCTCACAAACCCTCCGGAAGAGCCATTATCCCACTTTTCAGATGAGGAAACTGAGGTCCCAAGAGGAGAAGCGAGCTGCTGGTCTGCTCCCCAGCCGGGTGCTGACTCTGCGCAGGAGCAGCAGGATCTGTCTCCACTGAGAGACTGAACCTCAGTCGAGTCGCGGGCGCTGGAAGGTCCTCGACTCCCCCCGCCTGCCCAGGGCTGGGCCTGTCGCCCGGGATCCGGCCCTGCCCGGGCGCTCCCCAGGCCTGGGCGCGCGGGCGCGCGGGGCGCAGGCGGGGCGCCCGGTGCTGGGCGCTGGCCCTCGTGGAAGGCTCTGGAAGTGAAAGAGGGAACTTCCCGTGCCCGCCCCCGGGCTCTGACGCCGCCTGCGCCGGCCGGGGTATTCCTGGTCGCGCCCCTGGAATCCAGACGCGAGCCGCGCCGCGGGGAGAGCGAGTCGGCGCCGCGGACGGGGAGCGAGCGCGCGGCCCAGCCCGGCATGGCCCGGGGCGCGGGCCCCTCCCCGCGGCCGCTGCTGCTGCTGCTGCTGCTGCTGCTGTCCTGGGCGCCCCCCGGAGCCGGTGAGTGACCCCGCCGCGCCCCGCCGTCCCCGCCGTGCCCGCCCATCGGCCGGGTCGCTGATTCCCGGGTTCCCGGAGGCTGAGCGCGGCCCCTTTGCCCCCCACTGCCTCCACCCCAGGGATGGAAAAGTGGGGGCCGGGGCAGGACCCTCTTCTCGGGGGCCCCCAAAGCCGCTCGACTTCGGTGGCCATGGGAGATTTCCAAAGGGCGAGTCAGTGTCCGGAGGGGGAAATCGGCAGAGGGTGACTCACCCCCGAACACCTCATCCCCAGGACCGCTCGCCACACCCTGGCTCCCCAGACCCCCGGGGCCTGCGGAATAGGAGTGAGGACGGGCCTCCCCGGGGGGCAGCGGCTGAGCGCTGGGTTGTGAAGCTGCCCGAGGCCTCTGCGGCGCCGGTTCGATCCCCGGCTGCTCCCCGGCCACCGGAGGAGGGTCCCCGTGGCTCTCTCGAAGGGCGGCTCATTCATTCACCGATGTGTCAGCTGTATGTCAGTGTTGGGGGACAGCGCTAAGATTCAGGCTGGGGGGTTAAAACAGCTTTCAGCATGGAATAACTGTGAGTTCAGGAAAATTACCCCAGTAACTTAGAAACAATCAGGCTATCCTATAATATTTTTTTGGAGGAGATAGATATTTAATTAGCTTGATTGCAGTAACCATTTCACTAGATATGTATGTATCAAATCATCGCTATATATATATTTCAAATTTATTTATACAAACACTGGGTACCGTCAGAAGAGAGGGAGGGTGAGAGAATTCACCAGAGCCAGAGCGGGGAGCAGAGCAGGCAGAAGTGTTATAGGACAGGGAGAGGGGCAGCCCAAACCCCGCAAACCTGCCTATTCTAAATGGGTTCTGCCATCCGCCGCATCAACACAAAACATATGAGACTTTAATGAAAAGGAACTTTAATAAAACTAGGAAACAATACAGGTGAGGCAAAGAATCTAGTTTCTAAATGAAGCACCCAAAGTTACCCGTCCCCTCGTGGGTAAAAGTCCATCCATATGGGATCGGCCCAGAACAAGGCCCCAAAGTCTGCCACAAGTCTAAAACATCTTCCAGTGGGGACCCACAGAAAAGGGTCACAAACAACCAGACAAGCCCGGAAGGAAAAGAGCAAAATCAACATCAAGATAAAAGCTGCCATTGTCACCTCCCCACGGGTCTCACCCACATCTGTGTCACCCAGTCCACAACCAAAAGACAAGCGCAGTTTCTTCACGTGTCTCTAGGCTCCATGCGCCTCTTCCAGGTCTCTTTGCTCCATCCTGCTTCCTTCCTTCCTCAGTCTCTTCTGCCGCTTCTCCTCTTCCTGCTCAGCTCCACCCTCCCTTGGGTGGGGCAGGGAACCTCCCCCTTTCCTGGGGACCACCCTGTTACAGAAGGACCGAAGGACACTGCTGAGGGTGTTATAGGGCAGCCCGGATATTAAACGGGTTCCTGGCTGTGGGTCCTCACCCGCGCGCTTTAAAGGGACTTATGAATACTCTACTACAGACACATGCAAAAGGGTTAATAATAGGTTTATTTACAAGGGAAAAGGAAATAAGGAAAATATACAACTCAGGGAGAAAATAGGGAAATAAAGTCTTTAATGCGTCCTACCCGATCCGACGACCTGGAAACCCAAAGTCACTCTCAGAGCTGGCCGGACGCTGCGAGCTGGTGGAGAGCCAAAATGGGGGGCCCCTCCAAAGCCCACGTGTCTGGCTTTATACCAACCTGGCTGCTTAACCCCACCCTCAGGTCCCAGCCACCTTCCCTTTGGTGGTGATGGGATTTGGAGTTCCCAGTGTTTTTGGCTTTGACCTGGGGTGGGGGTGGAGTCCACAAAGCCTATATGGAATTTGCTTTGGGACATCCTTTTCCCCCTAACAAGGGGAGCAGCGGGCAGCAGGAGAGGTCTGCGCACCATGTGGGACCCTCGCCGGCAGCCGGGGATCGAACCGTCGCTGCAGAGGCTGCGGGCAGCTTCGCAACCCAGCGCTCAACTGCTGCACCACCAGGGAGGACCTATATATATATATATTTGCACTTTCACTTTCCATATTCTTTCTTTTGTTTTTCCTTGTTCTTTCTTTTTTTTCCTCTGTATTTCATGTCCTCTGACACTCAATGGCTGTAATTTTTTTTCACCCTCCACCACCCACATACCCCTGGGGGTCCCTCCCCCAACCCCTGTTATATAATTAAGAAAGTGGTTGAGAATAGACATCGGGATCTGGGTTCACTGCCTCAAGGAGTGTGTCATCAGAGGCAGGGAGGGGGGAGTTTTACAGGATCAAGCTAAGTAGTGGAGTGTCCGAGCTTAAGGACATTTGTTTAAAATGTTGGCATTGGGGGCCTCCCCTGGTGGCGCAGCGGGTTGAGCGCAGCCCTGTAAAGCTGTCCGCAGCCTCTGCAGCGCAGTTCAATCCCAGCCGGCCAGGGAGCAACCCACATGGCTCAGTGGACCTCTTCTGTCTCACCTGCTGCTCCCCTCAGCAGTGTGTTTCAGTAAATTCTCCTGTTCTGTACCCTGCTCTGTCTCTGGCGAGTCCTCTCACCCTCCCATCCATCTGGCCTGTACTCCGGCTCTTGTATGCATGAATAAATAAATCTTTAAAAAAAAAAAATGCTGGCATTGGTTGACAGGTGTGTCTTCCAGGAGAATGTCACAGGGTGGGGTCTTTTCGTAGCACTCCACAGAGATGTCTTTCTTAATCACCGGGAGGAGCGGTCAGGGGGGCGATGTTCCTCCACAGTCATCCTTAGGGAGAAAGCGGTCTGTGGGTGTTCTTTTGCAAAGAGTTGAGTCAGGCTGATTACTTTTCACCTGTGATGGTGTCACCTTGTGACAGTCAGAGAGAAGAGAGAATGTGTTTGATTCAAAGTAGGTTCCAGAGGGCCTCCCTGGTGGTGCAGGGGTTAAAGACAGAGCTATTAAGCTATCTACAGCCATTGCTGCACGAGTTCGATCTCCTGCTGGCCAGGGAGCTACCCACATGGTTCAGGAGACCTCTCCGGTCTCACCCGCTGCTCCCCTCAGCGGTGTATTTCAGTAGATCTACCTGTTCTGCTCCCCACTCTCTCTGGTGAATCCTCTCACACACACCCCTGCACCTCTGGTGTGTACCCCAGTTCTTGTATGCATAAATAACTAAATCTTAAAAAAAAAAAAAAAACAGTAGGTTCCAGAGCTCCTGCTTTGTAAGTCTCTGTCTTGGGAGGTTACTGAGCAAGGGCAGATGTACTCAGTAAGAACAATAATGGTAGGTGAACAATAATATACTGAGTGTGGGCTTGAGGAAGCTGGAGTCCCTCCTTTTACCACTTCTGAAAGGTTGATTCTCCAAACATGGGGTGCTTCTCTAGCAAAGAGGAAACCCAGACTTGAAGAGTTCAGAGAGAGCCATCAGTCTAAAGCCCCTTAAGGAGATTCCTACCACGGCTCCTATTGTGACCCCATCCTGCTTATAGATAAGAGGTAGAAGCACAGAGAGGGAAGAGATTTGCGCAGGCCCCCAGGCAGAAGTAGCAGAGACAAAGAAACTGAACAGAAGAAGCCGACAAGCTCCCCTGCACCCTACCTGCCCTTACACACACCAGGACAGGATGGAACAGGCTCAGGTCCAAGCATAGGCTGTTGCTCACCTGCTGGTTCCTTAGGCCAGGGCTTGACCTTACAGGGTCACATGCCCTGCTGTGCAGAGGGCATGACAATACTAGAACTTGTTTCATGGGGCAATGGAGAGCACTGGAAGCAGCCACATCAAGGGACTTGATAGACGCCGTATCACAGGGAACACGCCCAGAGAAAGGCCATTTCATCCTCCTGGCAACCTCACCAGGGAGGAGACTTTGCCCTCTATTGAAGGAAGCCAGTAGAGGACACTCTGTTGCCCAGAGCTGCACAGCAAGCCAATAGTGGGGCCAGCGTTCCACCTGGACTAGCCTCCTCACCACTCCACGATTCTTCATGTCCAAGCTGTGCCTTTCTTCTACACAGCACCCCCCCTACCAGGATGCCCATCCTTGGCCTCCCAGCTTCCTTCTCCTCACATTAATAACAGTGATAATAAGCATGTGCTGATCTATGACACAATCTCACCTTTGAGTCCTTGCAATAACCTCAAGCTACAGTCACCACTTTGCATTGTGAAACCGAGGCTCAGAGGAGTGAAACTCCCCACACAAAGTCCATAGCTAGTGAGTGGCAGGACTGGGGTTCAAAGAACACCTCCCACCTTCTGCATGCCCATTATTGTTAATAAGAGTACATGCTATTGGGTTTATTACTATCAAGAGAGCCAAGGCGTGTTGAGGACCTGGAGACCTATGTGCTGGAGACTAGATAGATTCTTTTTCTTTTTTTAAAGATTTGTTTATTTATACAAGAACCGGGGTTCAGGTCAGAGGCGCGGGAGGGTAAGAGAATTCACCAGAGACAGAGCAGGGAACAGAACAGGCAGAAGGACCGAAGACACTGCTGAGGGGAGCAGCGGGCGAGACAGGAGAGGTCTGCCACGCCATGTGGGTTTCTCCCTGGCCGGCTGGGAGTGGAACCCGCGCTGCAGAGCCTGCGGACAGCTTCACAGCATAGCTTCAACCCGCTGCGCCATCAGGGAGGCCCTAGATAGATTTTGATGGAGAGCCGGGGGGCAGAGCTCTGGACTCTGTCTGCAGATGACTTATGTTCAAATCCCACCCCTGCCAACTACTCGCTGGGTGACCTGGAGCAAGTGACCATATGCCTCAGTTTCCCCCTTTATCACCTTGCTAAGATGCTTGCCTCGGGGAGCTAACTAAAGCTGGAATGAGTGAAGGACTCAGAACAGCCCCTGAGCTTATAAACATCCCAGGAATGTTCACTGATTAGTCCCATTTTATAAACTAGGGAAAAACCTCCAGGAGGTTAAGTAAACTGCCTAAAGCTTCGCAGCAGAGAGAGCTGAAGGAAGCCAAAACCTTGGGCTACCCTCACCTCCCCTCTTGTACCAGCATCCCCACAAACATCCTCGCAGCCAGGGTCCTCCCAAAGAAATAATAACACCATGTTTCATATATTCATTGTTCCCGCAGTGTGCAGGGTATTGAGGACACGGGGTCTCTGTGGGAGCCCCAGGTGCCTGGAGGTTTGGCCTGGAATTAGCCTGCAGGGGCCATGTTCCGAGGGTGGCCAGGAATGGGGTCTCCACAACCTGGGTGACTCTCAGAGCCACCCGGCCCAGAGCCTTTAGGCCGGACCATGGCCATGGAGCAAGGGTGGTTTCCCAAAGGCTTGCTCCTTGTGAGGGGGCTGGCGTGGCCCCGGGGGTCAGCATCTTTCTGCATTTGTCCCACTTGAGGCTGGGCTGATGTCAGTCCTTCCCCAGGGAGGTCACCCGCTCGGCAGAGTACACTTCCTTGTTGCACTTGGGGCACTGGGCCTGGCGGCACCGTGTCTGGATCTGGTGCAGGAGGCTGGGCGGCTGCCAAGGGACAGTGTGGGACTCTGTACTGCATAGATTCTAAGACCTGGAGTTTCTTCCCATTTTCCCACCTCTAAATCCCGGGATGTGGGGCCTCCCTGGTGGCACAAGGGGTTAAGTCTCAGGACTCTGAAGCTGTCCACGGCCACTGCAGCACGAGTTCGATCCCCGGCCAGGGGGCTACCCACACGGCACAGCAGACCTCTCCTGTCTCACCCGCTGCTCCCCTCAGCAGTGGATTTCAGTGGATCTGCCTGTTCTGCTCCCCACTCTGTCTCTGGTGAATCCTTTCACCCCCCCACACACACCTCTGGCCTGTCCCTCAGTTCTTGTATGCATAAATAAATAAATCTTTGGGAAAAATAACCATTTAATAAAAAAAAAAAAATCCCGGGATGCGCTAACCCCTGACAGTGCCCTGCTACTAATGACAGAGTCTCTGTGGAGTCTTAAAACTGATGACGCTGCAGTAGTGGAAGAATCTGGCGCTAGATAGAGCCACAATATTTACCCCACTTTTGAAATTTGATGATGCTGACTTCGAGGAAATCCGGTAATAACTAGCAGGGAAAATATGGTGCTAATAGCCCAGAGAAGCAGTGAGGACACGGTTGCTGGCCAGTCAGCCCCCCTCAGCCCAGCCACTACCCCCATGATGATCCCCAAACCCCCATAAGGGACTCCAGAGCCCCCTCGCCAGCAGATGCTGACCTTGGTGAGCAACTGTGCCTCTCCTGGTGCAGACCTGGGCCGCCCGGGCCTGACACCTCCCCCCAACCCTGTTTCCCCGCAGAGAGCCGGAAGGTGGTCGTGCAGGCGCCCAGCCAGGTGCACGGCTTCCTGGGCCAGACAGTGGAGCTGCCGTGCAACCTGCAGCCTCTGGAGCCGGGTGTGCAGGTGACGCAGGTGACCTGGATGCGGCGGGAACTGTCGGGGGAGGCGCACAGCGTGGCCGTCTTCCACCCCACCCAGGGCCCCAGCTTCCCGGAGCCCGGGCGGTTGCATTTCGCAGTGGCCAAGCCGGGCGGCGAGCTGCGGGACGCCTCGCTGGTGGTGAGTGGGTTGCGTGCAGAAGACGAAGCCAACTACACCTGCGAGTTCGCCACGTTCCCGCAGGGTAGCGGCAGCGCCCGGACCTGGCTCCGCGTGCTGGGTGAGCAGGGGTGGGGGTGTGAGGGGTGGGGGGTGGGGTGTAGACAAAAGGAAGGAGCAGGGAGGTAAGCAGAGTAGGTAGGACCCAGGAGGGAGACTCCCTCCACAGCAGAAATTTTATGGGGACTGCAGAAGAAGGGGAGGTTTGGGGGAGGGGGGCTGCTGAGGGGGCAGTTACAGGTGGGGAGTCTGACCACTAGGAAAGAGCAGTTGATCCTGAGGGGCAGGGTGAGATCCTGCAGACAGAGAGCAGAACCTGGGGGGGAGGGATACTGGGAGGAGCCTAGGAGGCTGGCTCTGCAGACCCTCCTTCCCGCCTGCATAGTGTAGGGTTGGCCACAGAGCTGCCCTGAGGTGGGGGCAGGCCTCCAGGCCAGGGGCTCCGAACAGACGTGCAGTGGGCTCGTGATGCTCTCAGTTGCGGACATTCCTTTCGTGAGGAAGGGAAAGCTGAAACAGACTGGAAGGAGAGAGATTCTAATACTAGGGTGAGGAGGGCTTCTTCTGGTGGGACCCAGGTAGGTCCTGTTGGGACCAGATGCCCAGCGGGTTCCCCTCCCCCCCAGGGAAACCGGGATGATTTTTCGTGAATGTCAGGAAGAAGATAGGAGCATTAGTAAAAGGTGTCTGTACCTCAGTTTCCCCATTTGTGAAATGGAGATGACAATGAGGATGAACAAGAGTGGACATTATTTTTTTTTTTTTTTTTTATAGAGGCATGCTTTATTTATTTGTTTGCTGGTTTTTTGTTTGTACATGCACTGGGTACAGTCAGAAGCGCGGGAGGGTGAGAGAATTCACCAGAGCCAGAGCGGGGAGCAGAGCAGGCAGAAGGACCGAAGTACACTGCTGAGGGGAGCAGCGGGCGGCAGGAGAGGTCTGCGCGCCATGTGGGACCCTCCTCCGGTGGCCGGGGAGCAGCCGGGGATCGAACCGGCGCTGCAGAGGCCGCGGGCAGCTTCGCAACCCAGCGCTCAACCGCTGCGCCACCGGGGAGGCCCTGGACATTATTTTTTTTAAAGATTTTATTTATACATACAAGAACTGGGGTACAGGCCAGAGTTGTGGGGGGTGAGAAAGTTCACCAGAGACAGCGTGGGCAGACTGATGGAAATACACCGCTAAGGGGAGCAGCGGGCGAGACAGGAGAGGTCTGCCGCACCATGTGGGTAGCTCTGTGGCTGGCCAGGATCGAATCCACGCTGCAGAGGCTGCCCTGGACAGCTTCACAGCGCTGTGCTCAACCGCCTGCGCCACCAGAGAGACCATGGACATTGATTTTTTTGCATGTGTACTAGGAGCTTTTTTGGGTCTTTGCATGAAGAGACGTTCTTCGGGGTAGCCAGTGTAGATGGGATAGAAAAGGATGCATATCAATGTGGACAGTGGTCACAGGCAACAGTGTAGACAACACTGGGAACAAAGACAGCTGGTGGCACGCATGACTGGTGTGGACAGAGGGACAGGGCTGGCGGGCTGCTGGGGAGCCAGTGTAGACAATGTAACTCACTGAAAGCTAACTACTGGCAACCTGCAACCAGAGGCAGCTCTGTTTATTCCAGCAAACCCTGGACTCTGAGGCTGAGGGCTTAGGATGAAGGCGATGTGGAGAAGGAACTACTAAAGCCCCAGGTTGGGGAATCCCCAGCGTGGAGATTGAAAGGTGGTTTTAGTCAGACGGTTGCCATTTACAATGCGTGACCTTGAGCCGGTCTGTTCCCCTCTCGGTTGCCACGGTGGCCTTAGTCACTCAGCCATCCCCTCCTCCATGAAGGCCTTCTGACCCCCTCATTTAAACTCAGGTACCCTAGGAGCCCTCCTGGGCTCCCTCATCCCAGCCTTGCCCACTCTGGGTCCTCGCTGTCTAGGGAATCTCTTTGTCTTGGACACTACACCCCAGGAAAGCAGAGTCTTCTTCATAACTGGGTCCTCTCACAGAGCCAGGCAGTCACTCGATGGCGAGGACAATAATATTTATCGAGCATTTATTATGTTCCCGGTACCATTTTAAGAGCTTTATCTGCCGGGGCTTCCCCGGTGGCTCAAGGGGTTAAACATCAGCACTATGGAGCTATCTGCAACTACTGCAGCATGAGTTTGATCCTCAGCCAGGGAGCTGACCCACATGGTGCAGCAGACCTCTCCTGTCTCCCCGCTGCTCCCCTCAGCAGTGTATTTCAGTGGATCTGCCTGTTCTGCTCCCTACTCTGTCTCTCTGTGAATCCTCTCACCCCCTGCACCTCTGGCCTACACCCCAGCTCTTGTATGCATAAATAAGTAAATCTTGAAAAAAAAATTACCTGCCTATTCTCATTGCCTATGGTCCTGTCATTATCCTGAGCTGACAGACAAGGAAACTGAGGCACAGATGTGCCCATGGCCACCCAACCGCTCTGGGACAGACCTGGGGTTTTAGACTGGTCATCCTGTACCTTCCATTACCCTCTACCCAGTTGCTGAGATGTTTGTTGAATGACCATAGATGAGGAATGACCTGCGCCCCTTTTGCTTCCCTCCCCAGCCGAGCCCGAAAACCACGTTGATATCCAGGAGGATCTGCTGGGCCCAGAGCCTGTGGCCACGGCCCGATGCGTCTCCACAGGGGGTCGCCCAGCCCCCCGAGTCTTCTGGTCCTCCTCACTTCCAGACAGAAATGTCATCGTGACCCAGACACCAGGTCTCCTGCCAGGAACGTTCAACATCACCAGCCAGTTTAACTTTACACCCTCAAGAGAGTTAATTCACCAGAATGTCACCTGCAGAGTGGAGCACGAGAGCTTCAAGGAGCCCATCCTGCTGCCCCTGACTCTCAATGTGCGCTGTGAGTGTGCCAGGTGGCTTCCACCCCCTCGTGCTGTCTAGACTGACTCTTGAACACTTTACTCTGGCACCTTCATTCCTATTCTGTCTACACTGCTGCCCTGGCAAACTGTCTATATTGCTTCCCCAGTGCAGAACATACTTCCCTCTGCCCCAATAATGTCTACACTGGCTAAGGGCTTTCTTCCTCCCCCACGAAGGCTACACTCGTTGTCCTGTGTTCTGTCTACACCATCTACTCTGGTCCGGTTACACTGCATCACCTCCACTCACTCCCCCTAGATCCTGACACCTACAGCACAGCCTTGTGTCGCTAAAGAATGTCGACATGTTCTGAGAAATATGTCGTTAGACTATTTCATCGTTGTGAGAACATCATAGATTGTAATTATACACAGCTCTGTAGAAGAGCCGCTCCACGCCTGGGCCGGATGGTACAGCCTGTGGGGACCCCTATGGTATAGTCCATCCATTGCTGGCTGAAAGGTGTTGTCAGGTGCGGCATGACTGCATTATCGTTAAGTGAGGCATGACTGCATTATCGCTAAGTGAGGCATGACCATATTGTCTATACCACAACCCCAGAGACTCCCAGACCTGTGCTGTCTGACAGAAGGAGGAGACTACACAGCTTTAGATCACAGCTACATTGTGATTTAAATTTTTCTAGAGCCACACAATTAAAAACATAAAGGGATGAAGCTAATTTTGATCACTGATTTTACTTACCCCAGAAGACCTCACTGCTATCAGTACCGCATGGAATCAAATCTAAAAAATATCAGTGAAGTCTTTCACATTGTTTGGCCCTGGTAAGTCTTCCTGGTCTAGTGTGTGCTTGGAACCCATTCAGCTCGTTAGTCACAGGTGGCAGCCACATTGGACAGCACAGATCTAAACCAGGCTCTCCCATGGTCTACAGTGGCTCCTAAAAATTCTGTCTACACTTGCATACACACACAAGCTGTCTTTTTTAAAATATTTTATATAATTCTTACATCATTTTTCAACTTTGCACAATGTATGCATTTTCATTTTGGTTATATTCCCCATACAATTGCACACCCCCCCCCTTATTTTGACTCTAGTTCTTCCTCTCCCCCCACCCCCATAGTGTGTCTCTGGTTTATAGTTGCTTGTTGATTTTGATTCTTACTTTGTATTAATTAGTCTTTTTCCTGGTCCCTTATTTAGGTTTTCTAAATTGCTGCTATGAGTGAGACCATCCGGCATTTTTCTTTTTCTTTCTGGCTTGTTTCGCTGAGCATGATCCCTTCCAGCGCCATCCATGTTGCTGCAAATTGCATGTGTTTATCTTTTTTGATTGCTGAGTAATATTCCATGGTGTATATGTACCACATCTTCTTGATCCAGTCATCTATTTTTGGGCATTTGGGCTGTTTCCAAAGCTTAGCTATTTTAAATAGTGCTGCTATAAACATAGGGGTGCAGGTGCCCTTTGGAATTAATGTTTCTGTGTCCTTTGGGTAAATACCTAGGAGTGGAATTGCTGGATCATATGGAAGCTCTATGTTTAGTAGGTCCAGAAATCTCCACACAGCTCTCCATAGTGGTTGGACCAGTTTGCACTCCCACCAGCAGTGCAGGAGAGTTCCTTTTTCTCCACACCCTCGCCAACATTTGTTGTTGCTAGTTTTTTTAATATGTGCCATTCTCACTGGACACACAACCTGGCTTAATGTCACCGTTTTCTGGGACCCACTCTGTTTGTTTTGTCCCCTGCCCCCACTTCCCCTGGGAACTAACTCTTCTCCCACACAGTTCTCTGCCCTGAGTCAACACCCTGTGTACCCGGAGTTCATCAGAAATGTCTGCATAAGCTCTTCTGGATGCTGTTTTCCTCCATTCATGGTCTACACTGAATTCTCCACCCTGGCAATCGCTATACTGATTCCCCTCGGCACTGTCTACACTGGATGCCTACAATATTACCATTGGGTCTGAGGAAGGAAGGGAGCTACACTGATGCTCCCCCCCAACCCCACCCCCCAAAAAAACCTCTCATGGGCCTTCCCCTGAAACTCCAGAAATTCTTCCCTGTTGATCACATCTGGGAGGGATAAGCAGCGGCCGAAGCAGGGTCCTTGGGATTCTTTCCTGTAGGACTTGTCGGTGCTTTGAATATGGTCCTGTGTGTGGTGAGTCTCCCAGAAGCCTCTGCTCACAGGATATCCAAGGCAGAAGCACTTGGCTGCTCAGGAAAACCAGCAGAGGTGGGGCGGGGGGAGGGGTGTCCTAAGAATCTCTCTGTACATCCCCTGGCCCCCCATGGACTCCCAGGCTTCTGTCCTCTGAGGAACCTGTTGCCCAGGTTCCTCACAGGCCTTTTCGCTTCCAGCTGCTCCTGAAACCCACTGAGGTCTTGCCAGGTTGTGACATGAATCCCACCTATCTCTAGGCCCCCCGAAGGCTCCCTGACAGTCTGTGTTTCTGTTTCCCCCAGACCCCCCTGAGGTCTCCATCTCGGGCTATGATGGCAACTGGTACCTCGGCCAAAATGAGGTCATGCTGAACTGTCACGGAGATGGCAACCCCGAACCCACAGACTATGTGTGGAGCACGTGAGTCCTGGCAGGGGTGGGGGCTGAACTCTTGGGCCTGAGGAAGGAGAGGCTGGTGTCTGTACTGGCTCTGAGAAGGAGGGAGATGCACAAAGTACAAAGAGAGAGAGAGGTTGACTTTGGTTCCCCATTAAAAGATTCTTGAGTGCAAAGAAGTTACAAGCTGGTGTCTCTAAGGCATAGAGGTACAGCTGCCCTTATCCGTGTGCCAGTACTCGCCCTCATCCCATGCGACCCCCACACTCCAGGCATGGTCTGCACTATCGCCATGCCCAGGTTAAAGATCGGGGGGCCCCAGTAGCTGCTGTCATTTGCATTTGCTGTCACAGCCATGAAGGCGCAGATTGAGCCTCAAATCAGGCTCCAAACCTGATCCTCTTAACCTCTGAGCTTGCCACCTCGGGGAACCTGGTCAGTCATCGCTCACAGAGTAAGGACTGTCCCTATTCTCTAAAAGATGAGGCTCAGGACAACGAGAAGATGTCCTCAAATCTAGGGCGGGGAGAAAAAAACAAAGGGGTGTATTGTCCTATGTAATTGTTATTCGACCTTTGTCCTTATTTCAGAAATAGTTTATGACTGCTGTAGAAACTGTAGACAGGGCCTCCCCGGTGGCGCAGCAGGTTGAGGGCAGCACTGTGAAGCTGTCTGCAGCCTTTGCAGCACCGGTTCGATTCCCAGCCAGCCAGGGAGATTCCCACATGGCACAGCAGACCTCTCCTGTGGCGCCCGCTGCTCCCCTCAGCAGTGTATTTCCATCGCCTGTCTGTTCTGTTCCCTGCTCTGTCTCTGGTGAATCCTCTCACCATCCTGCGTCTCTGGCCTGTACCCCAGCTCTTGTATAAAAATAAATAAATCTTTAAAAAGAAAGAAAGAAAGAAAGAAACTGTAGACAGTACAGTTCCCAGCAAAAAAGATGACAGTAGCATCTGTAGTTGTGTACCCAACCACCTCCATAAATAGCCACTGTTACCCTTTGTTATATAACCTTCTTGCCTTTTAATCAAAACAAACACTGTGCTGCATGTAGCATCTAATTTTGAAACTTTTCCTCTGTCTTGCCAACACCTCTCCTGGTCAAAGCACATTAGTTCCCTCCAACAGTTTATTAGGAGAATGTTCACACACAGACTAAAGTAAGTATTTTCCAGTGAACACTCAGAAACCCACCACATGGATTTTCTCACTAACATTTTATTATTCTTGCTTTTTTGTCTTGCTTCTGTCCTGCGCATAGCTCATATGCATTCAAAGTGCCCACAGCCTCTTTTTTAATGCTGCTGGGAGTTCCCATGCATGTGCCACTGATTACTTAACCAATCCAAATGTGGGGTTCAGAGATTGTTTCCCACTTCCAATTGGATACAGGTCTTGGTGGGTGGCATCCCCAGCCACCCATCTCTATGTAACGCCCATCGTGTCTCAGTTCCTGGTGCCTCAAAGTGTGGTGATTCAGGCTTTTGAGCCACACCACTGGGTCTTCATCCCTGCTCTGTAGAGTGCCCTGATAAACCATGTCCTCCATGTCCTTCACCCATAAACCAGTGTTTGTGTGCCAGGTGCTATTCACTGACTGACACGCTTGGGTCAATAAACCAAACCAAGTTCCTTCTGGAGTTTGCATTCCAGCTGGGGAAAGAAACAACGAATAGGATAAGGTTGGAAAGCACATAGTGTGTCAGCTGCTGGTAAATGCCATGGAAAAGCAGAAAAATGGGAGGGGTCATTACCATTGCACTAGGGTGGCACAGAAAGGTGTCCCTAAAGCAACATCTGAGCAGGAATCTGAAGAAAGTAAGGGGGAACTGTGTGGGAAGAGCATTCCAGGCTTAGGGAACAGCATTCCGGGTTTAGGGAACAACATATGCGAAGACCCCGAGGAGGGAGTATAACTTGAGTGTTTGAGGCCAATAAGGAGGCTTCTGTGAATACAGTCAGGAACAAATGAGAGAGAAACTGATAATGTGGTCAGAACAACGGGGCAAGGGGCAGCTGGTGTGGGATCTGTGGCTGTAGTAAGGACTTCGAAGACCTTGGTCTTTGCACAAGGTGAGGTGGGAGCCCTGGAAAGCTCTGAGCAGAGGAAGGACATGAGTTGACTGGGTTCTAGCAAGATCCCCCAGGTCAGTGTGGACTGGGAATGAGAGAGGAAAGCAGGGAACCCAGTAAGAAGGTAACCACAGTGGCCTTGGAGTAGGGGTGGTCAGACCAAGTGGTGGGGCCCTAAGGACTCAGAGGTGTGTGAAAAGATTCTGAAGGTGAGGTCAACAGGATCTTCTGATTGATTAGATGTGGATCTGAGGAGATGACTTGGGGGGACCCTGGAATTGCTCTTAACTTGTCACACAGATTCCGTGAGAGGGCTCTGTCCCCAGATGGCCTGTCACTTGGAGCCTCCAGCAGAGGCCACTTCCTCACCAGTCTCTCTCCCCCAGGATCAGAGGCTCTCTGCCCACTTCTGCTGTGGCTAAGGGCAGCCGTCTCCACATCCATACTGTGGACAAATCCATCAACACGACTTTCATCTGCCGTGCCACCAATACCTTAGGAACTCGCCAGGCAGAACTGATTGTCCAGCTCAAAGGTAAGGAGCCACCCAGTGAGGAGAGGGGTCAAAGGAGGAGGTCTCAGCAGCATTTTGTCTGAGGGAGGGATTTGGAGGTGATCCCTGGTTAACTGAGTCCTTTATCCACAAGAATGTTCTCTGACTCCATCCTCCCTAGTCTTCTCATGAAAGGACTCTTCGGAGTCAGATTTACTCCCCCTGTTAACTCAGCATCTGTACCATTGTCTGGATACACCCTTCGGCAAACCCAGACTGGGGTAGTTTTGGGGTGCCTCTTCCCCAGGAACCCAGTAAGTCTGTTCCAAGTGAAGAACTCTATCAGTTTCAATGGATGGAATCACAGAAACTCAAAGTAGTCCCAGCAAAAATGGGGCTTTATTGAAAATGCACCTTCAGGTATGGCTAGATCCAGATGCTCCAATTGTGTATCCCAGGAACTTTTCCTTACATCTCTTGTCTCTGGTTTTCTCTGTGCTTGCTCTCTTCTTAAGAAGACTCCTTGGGGAGGCAAGATGGCCCACAGCAGCTGCAGGCTCACATCCCAGCAGTTTAGTAATCCCAGGGGAAAGAATATACCTCTTTCAGTGCAAACCAAAGTCCCAGGGCTGGTTCTCATTGGCTCACTCCCAGCCCTAGGTCCCCAAGAACCAATCACAGCTGCCAGAGCGAGTGGAATGCTCTGATTGGCCAGGTCTAGGTCCAAGTCATTACCTAGGAACGAGAGGGTGGAGTCAAGTCCACTTAAGAACTGAGGAGGGAGTCAGAGTGGTAGCTTCTTAAAAGAATACATGGCAATGTTTGCTGAGCAGGTGAAAACCTCAAAAGTCTTCAAACCTAAATTGCTGTTTCCTTTTTCTCTTCCAGATGAACCTCCTGGGGGCTCCAACTCAGGATTGACCCTTGCGATCATCTTACCTATCATCATCGTGGCAGTCCTGATTCTGGCAGGGATTGTTTTCTGGCAGCTCAAAAAATCCGGTGAGTCTCCTTCTCTTTGGCACATTCCTCCCTTGTCTGCCGTGAATGAGCCTCACTATAGCCACCACAATCAAATACCCACTGTGCTGGGCTCCATGCTAAGCCCTCCACGTGGCAGCCTCCCCCTGAATCCTCACCCCAGAACTTTGAGGTGCCCTCATTTTATAGACAAGAGCACTTACAGACTCAGGCCAGGGAGTCTTACTCATTGATTCATTTTACAAGTCTTTAGGGACTGGGGGCCAATCCTGTAGGGCCTCGAAGGCCACAGTAAAGACTGGTTTTTAATCCAAGGACAGGAGAGCCCTGGGCAGAGGGGTGGGAGACAGATCACACATACCCTCCAGCTTTACCCTGTCACCTGCTCAGAAGTGACTCCCTGGCTGTTATCATGGAAAGGAGGAGGTGGTACTTGCCAGCGTCCCAGTCCCTGGCTCTCAGAGGGCCCGACACCCTCTCAGCTCAAGGGCTCTGTGCTGCTCTTCCCTGTCTGGAGTACCCTCTCCATGGCTCCTTCTGGGGAAGTCCTGCGGCCAATTCTGCAATCCAAAGAACTGCGTTGTGCTGAGCCCTTTGCAGGTGCCGCCACTCTCTGCACAGCTGCCTGCCATGCCCACCACTGCCCTGTGAAGTGAGTGCTGCTGTGAGCCATGTTTCACAGAACAGGAATTTGCACTCAGAGAGGAATGTCATCTGCCCACCGGCACACAGCTGGGAAGTCAGGAGCACAGGGCTGTTCTGTTGACTACAAAGCTTGTTCCCTCAGCCACTAAACAAAACTGCCTCCTCACATCACTGCTGGAGGCCCCCTCCTCCAGGAGGCCCTCCCTGATCCCCCAGAATGAGCCAGCACCTGCTCTGGGCTCCTCCACCCCAGTCTGGCCCACTCTGGAGTGTCACTGTGTGGGAACTTGTCTGTCTCACCAGTGGACTGTGAGCCCCATGACGGCAGAACTGGTGTTGTCAAAGTCACAGCTGTGTCCCCTGCCCCACCTGGCATGGGCCCAGGCACAAAGGAGGCACTGGAGGATGCGTTTGCTGAATACATCATCTCCAGAGCCAGACTGCCTGTGCTTAGGACCCCACTCCACTGCTCTATGATGTCACCACGGGCAAATGACTTCCTCTCTCTGACTCAGTTTCCTCATCTGTAAAATGGAGTAATTGTAACCGTTAACACAGGTAAAGCATTTAGCACTGGGCAGCTGTAAGCTGCACACTGAATATGTGAATGAAGGTCGCCATTGCCATTACTAATATTATTATTGTTGTCATTATTATAAGCTCCACGGGGGCAGTGATTTTTGTCTATTTTGTTCACAGTTGTATTCCCAGCGCCTTGGAAGTATCTGGCACAAAGTAGACATTTGCTATTTGTTGGATAAATCCCTGTCTGATGGCTGAGGAGGCACAGAGAGGTTGTCAGTTGCACAAGGTCACACAGCTCCTAGAGGTCAGGGGTGGGATGCGAACCCATCCATCTGGCTACAGAGCCTGTGCTCAACACTTCTTCAACTGAATGAATAACTGGATGAAACCTCTACCTCACCCCATTTTATAAATGTATCGACCTTAAAGGGAAGGTGCCTCTACCCCTGTCGGTGGCTGATCTGGGACTTCAAAGGCAAGAGGCCCTGTCACCCACCTGCATCTTCCTGGGCTCCTGAGCATTCATTCCTGACAACTTCTCCCCTGTCTCCGCAGGTCGATGCTGTGGTAAACCTCCTGTTAACAGGGTAAGTGTGGCGGTGGAACTGAGAGGGTGGGGGCCTGCAGGAGCCACAGGCTGACTGCTGGGTGCTTTCCCAAGATGTCTGTACTTAACCAAAAGGCAGCATGACGTCAGGAATCAGGTTCCAGATCTTTACTTCAAATTCCTCCAGCAGCAATTCCCAGCCCTTGCTGCTGGGCAGAATCCCCTGCAGGAATTGCTGAAATGCATGCTCTGCATTTCATTTGTTTGTTTGTTTAATATAATTCTTACATCATTTTTCATTTTTGCACAATGTATGCATTTTCATTTTGGTTATATTCCCCATACAATTCCCCCCCCCCCCCCTTATATTGGCCCTAATCCTTCCTCTCCTGTCCCCCACCCCCCCCCCCCCCCCCCTAGTGTGTCTCTGGTTTATAGTTACTTGTTGATTTTGATTTTTTTCTTTATTATAATTAGTCTTTTTCCTGGTCCCTTATTTAGGTTTTCTAAATTCCTGCTCTGGGCAAGACTATCCGGTATTCTTCTTTTTCTTTCTGGCTTATTTTGCTGAGCATGATCCCTTCCAGCGCCATCCATTTTGCTGCAAATGGCATGAGTTTATCTTTTCTGATTGCTGATGCTCTGCATTTTAATAGCCGTCCCTCTCCCCTCACAGCCACACCTTGGGAAGTGCTGCCCGACTTCTGGGGAGGGAAGGACAGGCCTGTGATGCTGCCCTTTGGGCTTCCATGGGAAGATCTTTTCTGAAAGGGTCCCACTGATGACTAACGTTTGCCTATCCCCCTTCTAGACCGAATCCTATTCCCCTGTGAACACTCAGCAGGATCTGCCCCAGGAGAACGGACGAGGTGCAGGAGGCAAAAGTTGACTCTGGGGAACCAAATGGAGAGAGACTGAAGCTGGCAAGGATGTGGACCTTGAGGCTGGACCCCACCCCAATGGATGAAGCTCCCTCCCAAGAGACTGGCCACTCTCCCCCAGTGGCAGGACTCAAGTGTGAGAAGTTGGGGGTGGGGGGCGCTGAGGCCACCCTCAGTCTCAGGCTAGAAGGACTCATAGAACTCAGGAAAGCTATGATAGCTGTTACTATTTATTACACTGGACTCTAAGACTGATGGCAATGGGAAGAGGCACGTGGGGCAGGGGCAGAATGGACCAGGAGTGAGCTTCCAGCCACCCACTGGGTAAGGGGGGGGGGTGTGGGGAGCAACCTGCAAATGCACTTAACTTCTCCCAGCAAGAACACCTGACAACACACCTGCATTATTGCTTACCGGGAAGCTCACTTGAGTCTCGGTGTCCAGAGTTTTTATTGGGGGGAGTCAATGTCCATATAGCTGACCTTAGTCACTAGCCCCTTCAGAGGTCAATTCAATATATGTGGCCAAGAACCCCACCATCCATCACTAAGCAAAGGCTCCGCTGTTTCCCACAGCCCCCAGGTAAACAGACAGTCCTCTAGGACATTCCAAGGGCTTAAATGTTACTCCCAGGAGCCAAAGGCAAAACACCGAGTCCCTCTTTGGTCAAGGTGATCCCTCTCCTGCACAGTGGGACCCACAGAATGTACAACTGCCAGAGTCTTTGTAAGAATCTGACCTTTGGTCTTGAACTTCTGAGTCTCTCTATCAGTTGAATCTCTGTGGTTTTAAGAAGTAGCTGCTGACAGTTGTCACCAGGATGAAACCAGAAGCTGAAACTCGGGCCCCAACTGGCTGTGTGGGGCTCTTTGGGGAACAGGAACAACTGGTGGCTGTGAACTTGGAGGTTGTTCATCCCAGACATCTTCTGCCAAGACTTGAGTCCCAGAAAAGCACCTGTACCTGGGGTGCTGGTGTTGACAAGACCCCAGGGGCTGGGGCCAGTAACCCACGGACAAAAGCAAGACGCTGTTCCCAACACATAGAGAAAGACACTGAGGGAACAGGAACTGGCTATGCAGCGCGCACATCTCTGCGGCCCGTGTGGACTAAGCCCAAGGACAGGAGGCAGAGCCTCGGATATAATCCCATGTCAGCTTTCAAACGGAATGTGATCGTGGCAGTTCCTCCTACGGAGAGAACTGTTTAGGAAAATACTCTAGAGAGGAAAGACCTGGGGCCAGAGTGCTGAACCAGAGAGCTCGTGATGGGCTCCTGTGCAAAAGAAATGGAAGGTTCGGGATTTGTTGTGAACAGACCAGAGAGCACAGGACAGAGAGCAATGGGGAGAGATGGGAACCAGGAGGGCAGTAGGGGTGAGGGGTACAGAGGGTGAGGATCCTGGACATGAGGGGCTCAGGGGGGCCCCTCTGAGAAGTGGGGCACCCCAGAGTCAGAGATTCAAATGGGCTCACTGTCGTGTCCACCCCTTGATCATCCCCAGCTCCTAAATACCTCATCAAAATTTATTTATTTATTAGTTGGCCTCCCTGGTGGGGCAAGGGGTTAAGTCTAAGCACTATGAAGCTCTCTGCAGCCACTGCAGCAGCAGTTTGATCCCTGGCCAGGGAGCTACCCACATGGCACAGCAGACCTCTCCTGTCTTGCTCCCTCAGCAGTGAGGGAGCTGCTCCTCTCAGCAGTATATTTCAGTAGACCTGCCTGTTCTGCTTCCCACTCTCTCTGATGAAGCCTCTCAATCCATTCTCTCTGATGAATCCGCACCTCTGGCCTATACCCCAGTTCTTGTACCCATAGATAAGTAAATCTTTAAATAAAATAAAATTTATTTATTACAGCTTGAGTGCCTGTGTGTATGCCAGGGGTCCTGGGGGAAACTGAGGAGGGGTCAGTTCTCATGGGGGATAAAACCAGAGACGTGGAAGCAAAACCCTGAATCATAAAGGCCACACGTCACGAGTCCCCAGGAGAGCTTGTCTTCTTCTCTCACTTTGTAACTTTTTTTAACTAGGAATACACAAACATCCGAAATTGGTAGTTATAAGAAGACTTCAGGGGTCCATTTTGACTTAATATATGCATAGGATGTAAGGGAAGGGACCGTTCTTTTGCACGTGGCTACCCAGTTAATACCCTTGAACTATACACTTAAAAATGGTGACACTGTCCAATTTTTGTCATCTCTACTTTCCCACAAACTTTAAAAATTAATCATCTGATGTGGGCCAAATTATTGACTTGTATACCCTTTCCATGGGGAAATTGTAGCACCACAAACTTAGTGATCTGAAAAACACAAAATTGTCCTCTTACACTTATGGAGACCCAAAGACAGAAATGAGTCTCCTGGACTAAGATCGAAGTGTCAGCTGGCCTGGTTCCTTCTGGAGGCTCCAGGGGAGAAACCGTGCATCGCCTTTCCAGTTTCTAGAGTCCATCTGACATGAAAGATAATGATCATCATCATTAGGAAAATACAAATCAAAACCACAAGGAGATATTACTTCACACCCGTGAGAATGGCTGTTGCCCAAAGACAAGAAACAGCAAGTGCTGGAGAGGCTGTGGAGAGAAGGGAACTCTTACACGCTGCCCTGGGACTGTAAATTGGTATGGCCACTGTGGAAGACAGTATGGAGAGTCCTCAAAAAATTAAACATAAAAACCCCATACAATCTGGTTATGCCACTTCTGGGTATTTATCCCCAAATCCAAAAACACTAGTTTGAAGAGCTATCTGTACCCCCATGTTTATTGCAGCACTGTCTGCAATAGCCGAGAACTGGAGACAACATAAGCGCCCACCAAGTGATGAATGAATACCAAGGATGTGGTAGGTATACACCACAGAATACTATTCAGGCATGAAAAAGGATGAACTACTGCCATTCGCAACAACATGGATGAACCTAAGTAAGTCAGAGAAAAACAAACACCATATGATTTTGCTCATGTGGTAGATAAACAACGAGATGAGCTAAATAAAACAAAAATATGGGCCTCCCCGGTGGCGCAGCGGTTGAGCGCTGGGTTCCGAAGTTGCCCGCAGCCGCTGCAGTGCTGGGTTCGATCCCCGGTTGCTCCCCGGCCATCGGAGGAGGGTCCCACATGGTGCGCAGATTTCAGTCAATCTGCCTGTTCTGTTCCCCACTCTGTCTCCGGTGAATCCTCTCACCCCCCGCATCTCTGGCCTGTACCCCAGCTATTGAATGCATAAATAAATAAATCTTTAAAAAAATAATAAGCTTCCCAATAGCCTCACCTCAGGTCTCAGAGGCCCACCATTCCCTGGCCAGAAGAATGGGACTGCCCTAGGATGTTTGTGCAACAAGGTCCTGCCCGCCGGGGCTGGGGAGAACTGGATAGAGGAGCCACAATGGTCAGAGGAGGAAAGACTAGACCTATGGTATTAGCGTGACTTTCAAGATAGCTGGGAAATGGTTAAGTTTTACTCTTTCCGTTTTTTGAGTCCATATGATCACAATTTTCTGTAATAAACCTTGAATTTTCTTTTTATTATGCCAAAGGAATCAGAGCCATTATTAGGGACAAAGGCCAAGACACAGGAGCGGGAGAAGGAAGGAGTGAGAAAAGAAAGAGAAAGAGAAACACTAACAATTAAAAAAATCCAACACTAGATCTTACGATTTCTGCACTGGCAAGGATAGCTCTCCTGCCCACCTGTGACTAGGCAGGTGTTTCTTTTCACGGTTTCTCTTTGCAAAACAGTTTCTCTTTGCAGTTCTCCTGCCCACCGGTGACCATTTCTCCTTTTCTTGATAAACCTGCCCTTTTAAAATGTAATAAAAAAATTAGAAAATCCAGAATGACTTGCTTTGCTTTCTGCGCTGCCTGGTTCTGCTTACAAAGCAGTTCCTGGGGCCTAGCAGGAACCTTGCATCAGAATCCCTTTAACCCCTATGCTCCACTCCAAATTCCTCCCAGAATGAGGCTAGCTTGGGCAATCTTGTTGGTCCCAACCTCGGAGTTAGCGCCCCCCGGTGGCTGCTCTGGGAATTAACTGCTGGAGCCCCAACAAGCACTCAGGGGAATTCGCAAAACCTCTGCAAAGGACTGAGGTAGATTCTGAACATCACCTCCCAAACTTCCAGGAATTAGGTGAAAGGTTTGGTGCCATAAAGAAAAGAAAAGCTGATACGGAGCAGCCCCGATATAAAACGGGTGGACATCCTTTTCCCCTACCAGAGCCAGGCCAAGCTTTCTCAAAGGGGAAAGGTCGACGCAGGGGCCAGGAATGAGGAAGCCCACACAGAAAAAACCAAGACGGCCCTGACACCAGAACCAGTGATACCTCAAACCGAAACTGAAGCCATAAACAGGAGAAAACAACTCGGCTCCATAAAGAACAACTTTGTCCCCCCTAAACCTGTTTCCCTCCCCACAACCCAGTTTTCCTGCCTAACCTCTCCTCACCCTAGAAAAGGGACATCTCTCCCCAAGACGGGCGCAGCTCCACGGACCCCCACCTTGATCCGTGAGGTCCGCCCGGGGCCCAATCAATTTCCCCTTCCTTTGAGAAATGTAGCCTGGCTCCCCTTTTCTTGACCGCGCCGAACCTTTCATCAGGAAGGGAAAATTGATTGGGCCCCGGGCGGGCCTCGCGGACCCAAGGTGGGGGTCGGCCAAGTCGCGCCTGTTGTCAGGGGGAGGCAGGCTTTTATAGGGTGAGGAGAGGGCAGGTGGGAGACTGGGTTCATACAGCGGGAAAAAGTTTGTAGGGCGCGAAAAGCTTTGTAGGGTGGGGGGAGGTTCATTGTCTGAATTCTCTGGCCTCCTGCATGGCGGTTTTTGCATTCCGGCCTCCTGCATGGACCTTTCATTAGGGACTAATCAGTAGATTGGGGGAGGGGGGGTTTGGAAAATGCACTTCCCTTGAGCAGGGCTACAAGGGGAGCAGGAAGAATTTGGGGGGGGGGCGCAGGGGCAAAACCAAAGACAGGAGCGATAGTAACAGCAGCATTGTGTGTTTATTTGCGTCAAGTTCCAGCAGCCAGGCTGAGATCGAGGCTCACCAAGTGGATGGGGTAAAGTCATTCGGTGGGTGCTCTGCCTACCTGGGCCAAGGGCCCCCAGCCCCAGGCCCTGCTCCATCTCCTGGCACTGCTCCCCTCAGATCCCTAGACCAGCATTTCCCAGTAGAACTTTCCGTGGTGATAAGGGAAATGCTCAAATGTAACCACCACTAGTGCCATTCAATTTCAAATGTAAATGTCTATTTTGTTCATCCTATGGGGCACAGTGGTATTAACATGACCCTGCATGGTCCATCACCCAGCCCTGGTCCACAGAACTCAAAACCACACTGATCCCTCTTACTTCTCTAGTCTCTCCACCGCTCACCCTCCCACCCTGCCGTTCCTCCAACCGCCTTAGTGCCTGTCTCGGCCTCCACACATTTGCGTGTGCTGTTTATGCTGCCTCCTTGCTACTCCTGCTCTCAGCCCTGATGACCCCTCCTCCAGGAAGCCCTCCCTGTCCTTCAGCATCTCTCAGCCCCTGAAGGAACTAGCCCTCCATCTTAGTTCTGATCACTCTGGGTCATCATTGTCTGGGGATAGGTCTGCCCTCCCACCCCCAAATTTGTGAGCTCCAGTTTGGACTGAGGGCAGGGCAGAAACTGTCTCAATCATCGCTGTGTCACCAGCACCCAAAGAGTGTGTGTTGGAAATGATGACTAGATGAATGGAGGCTGCTTGTGGAAAACTATACTAAGAGCGCTAGCGTGAGCCAGATCAAATCCCATCCCTGCCTGCAGATAGACGTGCCTCTTTGTTTGCTCCTCGGTTTCTTCATTTGTGAAATGGGATCACTAACGCCTGTTGGATATGGCAGGACAGAGGGCATGGGGAGACCGCCTGCAGCAGCCTGCCTGATAGGGAAGGTGGACGGAAGCATTGGGGCCCAGGGGTGCTGAGGGACCCTGAGGGTCTCGACTTCTACTCAGGAAATGACTCAGGCGGGAGTCAGCACAGGTGAGCTGGAAATGAAGCGTAGCTGTAAGTGAGTGCGGGCAGGTTCAGAGGAGAACCCTCCCCTTTGGGCCTTAGGCTGCAGACATGAATGTTTGCTTAGTTTGGGGTGGGGGGGTGCGGCTCCCAGATGGGGTTTTGACAACTTTTGCTTAACAAAAGGGGCAGGAATTTACAGCTTGGGATAAGGAGATTTGGCCAATTGTATTTATCAAAAGCACCTGCCCCCTAATCTCCTGTTAGATAAGATAGGAGAAGTTTGAAATAGCGACACCTGGTATGAGATAAACTAATAGGGTTTGAGCACTTTGTTCTGAAATGCACTAAAACCCTGCTCTACCTAAGGGGTGTGTGTGTTGCTTAACTAGAGGCAGGACAGTTGTAACACCTGCTCTCACCATTGATGGTCACCCTGAGTGGGAAGGAGAGACTGAAAGGGGTCAGGGGAGGAGTTCCGGGAAGCCCCAAAACATCCCCGGCACCCTGGAAAACTGGTTCAACCAGTGTCTGCGGTCCAACTCAGAGGCCACCTCCCTAGCTTGCGAAAAGGATGTTGGGGCCGGGCAGCCTCAGCCATGTCTGGGAGGCAGGCCTGGGATCCTCACGGAGCTGGCCAACTTTGAACAGCCCAGGCCTAGTCCTCTGGCCCCCTTGGTGGACGGCAGGTGGCCCCTAGGCACCTCCCCAGGATACCAAGATGGCGCTTCCCCAGGGAGGGCAGGGCTGCCTCTTAAAGAGATTCCCGCTCTCAGGTAAGAAGGAATCAGACTCCCAGGGCTGAGAAAAGAAGTGGGACTTGGCCCGGGGAACGAGGTTCCCACTTGGAAGAAAGTAAATATTTGCAGGGACAATAAATTATTTGAGTAAGGTTTGGGGGGGCAGATGGGGCTGGGAAAAAAGACAGCAGAATTATAAGCCCATCCTGATTTTATCTATGGCCCTTCCTAGAAAGCCAGGACCACGAGGGCAGGAGGTTCTTTGTATTGATTCCTGCTGTCTCCCCCAAGTCTAGAATTTTAGACATTGCATATATATAATTCGTAAGCCTGGAAGTAATGGTTATATGGTTGCATGGATAGCGGAATAAATGAATGAATGAATGAATGAATGAATGAATGAATGAATTTAGAAAGTTCAAGAACTAAGAAGCAGGTCACACAGCATCTCAGGGCAGAAAAAACTTCTGAGCCAAGCGGCAAACCTGTGACTGCCGACCCCAAGGCAGACACCACGAATCGACCCCAGCACCGGTTCCAATAAACACTGAGTCTTTGCCCCAGAGGTTCCCATGGGGAGGAGAATGCTGTGGTCGCTGTCAAACATCCCCCATCTCTGACCACTCCTGTCACTCCCCTCAGCCTCAATCCTGACTTTCTGGATCCTCCACGGCTCTGGGGAGGCCCTCCGCATCCAGAAGATTCCAGAGCACCCTCAAAAGAACCAAGACCTTCTCCTGTCTGTCCACGGCACCCCAGAAATCTTCCAGGTCTTCAACTGGTACCTGGGGGAGGAGGTCAGTGGCAGCACCATGCTGTTCTCCTACTTCCCGGAGCTGCAGCGACCCCAGAGGGAGGGCAGTGCCATGAAGCACCGTGACATCGTGGGCTTCCCCAATGGCTCTATGCTGCTGCGTCACGCTCAGCCCAACGACAGTGGCACCTACCAAGTCACTGTCACCATGAATCCTGACTGGACCATGAGGACCAAGACCCTAGTCCAGGTGGTCGGTGAGTGCCGGGCATAGTAGGGGAAAAGGGAAGACTTGATGTTGTACCTGAGCAGGCCACGTGCCAGCACTACCTCATCGGTTCTTCACATTCATCCATTCAATACATATGGGTTGAGGACCTACTGTGCATCAGTCCCTGAGATACCATTGAATCCCCACATGCATTAGCAAATAAAATACCTGCTAAATGTCCACCCGGTGCCACACACCGGGCCAGCCCCTGGAGATGTGCCATTTCATTTGCCTCTCACCTGCATTCATTAATGAATGTTTATTGAGCACCTACTATATGCCTGCCACTGTCACGTGCTGCTTCACAACAGGCATATGTGCTGAGAAATGAGTCTCCCAAAATGACTCCAGATATTGCCAAATGTCCCCGGGGGGCAAAGTTACCCTGGTTGAGGACCACTGCCCTCTACTTACTCATTTGTAGCTTAAAAAAAAACAAAGCAAAACAATTCCACTTGGCTGTAAGCCAAGTATAACTCAGCAGAGCTGGGTGGGAATTGTTGGGGGAAGGGATAACTTCTCCACCCTCTCACCCAGACTTGGTCATCCATCATCTATGTCCCCCAAGGACTCTGCTCACCCTCCTTACCTTTGTGATTTCCATCCTGTGTTTTAATCCATCAGTTTCCATACTTATCTCACTGGAATAGTAATTCTTCAAAATGAGACAGCCAGAGCACCCATCTTATGAACCAACATTTACCACAGAGTGTGAGATAAAACAAGTTCTCAGTTAGTGTTTGTTGAATAAATAAACAAATAAATGGAAATTTAAACAAAAGTCCCATGAAACAGGCACCATTGTTGGCGCCATTTTACAGGTGGGGAAACTGAGGCACAGAAAGTGGTAGAACTGGGATTTGATCCCATGAAGTCACAAGGCCAGTGTCTGGGAGCTTAACTGCTTCAGCAGAGAAGTAAAAGTGAAAGCAGAGTGTTGGGTGTTGACAGTGACCATGTAAATAGTAAATTAAGATGCCCTGTGAGATGTTGACATTAACAACAGTGATCATTAACGTTATTTAGAGCTTATTACATGCCAGTAGCTCATTCCATCCTCACAGCAGCTCTACGAGGTGGTTAACACTATTAGACATTTTATAGATGAGGAAACTGAGGCAAAGAGAGATTATGACTTGCCTAATGAAAAAAAAAATAATCAGCATGATGTATCTGGGATAGGAGATCATCAGGGAGGCCTCCCTGGAGAAACAACATGTGAGCAGGGCAGGGATGCAGAGAGCTCTGTGGATTTCTAGATGACAGAGTTCCCGGCAGGAGCAGTGAGTAGAGGGGAGAAGAGTTTTGGGAGCTGTTCAGGTGGAGGGCTCATCTATGGCAGGAAGCTGTAGGGCTTATGAGTTGAGCTGGCAGGAGGTCAACATGACTGAGACAGGGGAGCAAGGAGGGCACCCTAGGCGGCCAGCACCTCAGGATCCTTTTAAGTCAAGGCTCATCTCTCCAATTATTCAACAGAGGAAGGTGGGGGGAGAGCATCTTGTGGAACTCCAGGGTGTGCCCCTGGATGTCAGCTCCCAGAAATCTGGGATCACAACTGTGTCCTCAGAGTATAGAACTGTTGAATGAATGCATGAGTGAAGGGTGCACGCATGCACAAATGTGTGGGTGGGGATCCCAGCAGAGAAGGTGGGAAAAGGAAGGGTTGTCTAGAAGGCCATGTGCTGTCTCCTCCTCCAGGGGGAGCCATCTCTGCGCTCCTCTTGGCTCCTGAGCACCCTCTCTCCATGGGAAGGGAGTCCCACCACCACATAACCAGGGTATCAGCCCGGGCTTCTTTGCATATTCTGAGTTTCCTCTCCCCAAATGCAGCAATAGGAAGAAAGGGAGCTGGAGAGAGACAGACAGGGACCAAGAGAGAATCTGTATAGCCCTGCCTGGCCTGTGGTTTGCTTTCCCTTGTGACAAGTGTCCACCCTGTGGCCAAGGACATGGGATCAAGTAGAACAAGATGGTGAGCTAGGAGCCTGGGGATCAAGACCCAAAAAGTCGTGGTCGTTTACAGCTGAAGTCTCTCGTCCCATTACTCTAGGCATGGGGATTTGGGACCCCCAAGCAGCCCTGCTTGGGTTCCTCAAAGCCTTCTGAGACCTCTGACACCCAACGTAGTTACCCAGGGAGCCCAACTCCTCATGGTCAGAACAATTCACACATGTTTATCCTCTGCATCCTCCCAGTCATGGCATGATGATGCCCATCTGACAGGTAGAGAAACTGAGGCACAGTTTAGGTAACTTGTCCCAGTCTCCTAGCTCAGGAGCAGCAGATGCGAGACTTGAACTCAGGCTGCTCGGCTCTTGGACCCACACTCTTAACAGTGACTTTCTTGCACATCATCATTAACAGCCATCATTGAGGACAACTGAATGATGTCATGGGTTTAGTGCTGGTGAGCCTGCATCCATGACTGTGAAATGGGGGGACAGCAGCACCCCCACCTCAGGATGGCTGTGAGGACTGACTTGGCAAACCCCTGAGAGTGTGGCTTATGAAACCATGAACATCACCAAAGACCAACCAAATGAGAAAAGTAAAATGGTTTATTCAGAGCTGGCCATAACAAGGGGGTTGGCCACCACCACTTGTGTTTTGCCAGAGAATCGAGAGCACAGGGGCAAAAGAGCACGGAATCATCACAGTGAAGAAAGGGAAGGCTTTGGGTGTGCCTGATTGATGCTGTGGACTTGCGGGCGCTGCAGAAGCTTCTAGAAATGGGCCATCCTATGTGATTGATTGGGGTGCATAGTTGTTTTCATTTGATTGGCCCTAAGTTAGAAGTAGGGACAAATATTAGGAAAGTTGTCAGTTATTAAGCAAGCCCTGGCCATTTGAGGCCGATTGTTACAGAAGTCATTGTTTTGCTTCCTGGCTTGTCACCATAGAGTTAGCAGCTGCTCTAAAGCAGCCTGGCTTCCTGGAATGTTTTTAAGAGGTTGGTTGCCTCGGCAGTTGGCTGCAAGTTGTGTGTCAGCGTTCTATTTTTATACACGGTTCTGGTCACTGTCCATTTGTGTAATGGTCCCTCAAAGTGCTTTGCAGATGTGCTTGAATCTAATCAAAGATTGGTGTGGATAAACCTGGTCCTCGGATGACAACCCAAATGATTCTTATTTTTTTTAAAGATTTGTTTATTTATGCATACAAGAGCTGGGGTACAGGCCAGAGGTGTGGGGGGTGAGAGGATTCACCAGAGACAGAGCGGGGAACAGAACAGGCAGATTGACCGAAGTACGCTGCTGAGGGGAGCAGTGGGCGAGTCAGGAAAGGTCTGCTGCGCCATGTGGGTAGCTCCCTGGCCTGGCAGGGGGATCGAACTCGTGCTGCAGAGGCTGCAGAAGCTTCATAGGTTGCGTCTTAACCCCTTTCACCACCAGGGACGCCCCTAAATGATTCTTTATAGTAGATGATCACAGAGGTCCGCGATGAGAACATCCAAAGTGAAAGAAATCAATCTTGGAAGAAAAAAGCAATATGTGGGCAAGATTGGGGTGAAAGGAAGGAAATCAGAGTACAAACCAAGGTAATAGCTGCCACTGTCAGCCTCCCCATGGGTCTGTCCCCCACGTCTCTTCCAAGTGTCTCCACATGTCTCCTTCCATGGCCCCCTCTGGCGCAAGAAGCAAGCGTGACTTCCTCACGTCACCTCCACATGTCTCCTCCAGGTCTTCTCCTCCAAGCCCACTTCACCAAGTCCTCCTTTCACTGCTTGGCTCCACTCTTCATTAGATGGGCCAGGGAACATGGAATTTACCCCCTTTATGGAAATTACACCCTGGAACAATATCACGGAGGGGCATGTGGGATGGGAGCTTCTACTGCAAAAAATCTTGAAAAACAGGAGAAGTCGCAGACTCCCTCTTTACAAACTCACGGTCTATAATACTAAGCAAGAAAAAAAAAACAGTTATAAAAAAAGGACACTTCATCATGTGATTCAAGCAGTCTTCTTGCAGCAGCAACAGAAACTGGCTGATTTGTTCCGGCTGGCTTAAGCAGAAAAGGAATTGATTAAAGGAGGCTGAGCAGCACAAGGCCCTCAGGGCAGCTGGGAGCCTGGCTTGGGAGGCGCTGTATGCTGAATCACACCCCCTCAAAAAAGATGTGTTGAGTCCTAATTCTCAGGGCCTCTGAGTGTGACCTTATTTGGAAATAGGGCCTTTAGAGATATAATGGAGGCAAAATGAGGTCATAGGGGTGAGTCCTAATCTAACATGCCTCGCGTCCTTATAAAATGAGGAAATGTGGACACAGACATATGCAAAAAAACCCACGTGAAGGGGAAGGCAGAGATGGGGGATGATCCTACAAGCCAAGGAACACCAGAGATGGCAGCGAAGCCCCAGAAGCTAGGGGAGAGACACAGAACAGATTCTCCCTCTCAACCCTCAGAGGCTCCAACCCTACCCACACCTTGATCTTGGACTTGGGGGCCTCCAGGACTGTGAGACTTTTCATTTATGCTGTGTAAGCCACTTCGTGTGTGGCCCTTAGTTATGGCAACCCCAACACAGAGGGGACAGCGTCAGAACCGGCCGTCCCCAGGAAGACATGTTGCAGAGATTACAACTGCGTATCCGCAAGGCACTTCATTTGCCCAGCATCAGAGGCCGGCCATCGGAGTCTCATCATCATCCCTTTCTCCCCCTTCCTTGCAAGGAGAACCCCGAACTTCAGCTGGGCAGAAACCTGCCCAAAGCAGAGACATCTCCCAGCCCTAGTCAAACGTGCCTTAAAGCGTTGTGTTGAAAATGTCGACGTTGGGCCTCCTTGGTGGCGCAAGGGGTTAAGCACCGCACTATGAAGCTGTCCGCAGCTTCTGCAGCACAAGTTCGATCCCCAGCCAGGGAGCTACCCACATGGCACAGCAGACCTCTCCTGACTCGCCCGCTGCTCCCCTCGGCAGTGTATTTCAGTAGATCTGCCTGTTCTGTTCCCCACTCTGTCTCTGGTGGATCCTCTCAACCCCCGTACCTCTGGCCCGTGCCCCAGCTCTTGTATGCATGGATGAATAAATCTTTTTTTTTTTTTTTTTAAAGAAAATGTCCACATTGAAACCCTGGGAATTTCTCATACAAAATGCTCTTGAGGAACGGAGAGTCAGATGCTATTTCCACGAGGCAGCAGTGGGCCCGGCCCAGGAGCAGCCCTCTCCCCATAAGGAGAGTTCCCAGGTGACCTTTTCTCCGCCAGGCTGGCTGCCTGTGTTAATTAACCCACTTAATCCACACAGCAACCCTGGAAGGAGGTGCTGTTTTCTTTCATTTGACAAGAGGAAACGGCGTTCAGAGAATCCCAGCGTTTACCTGTGGCGATCAGGATTCAAACACGCTTCCAGACAGCCTCATCTGTCAGCTTTGCATGCTAGTTAATGCATGACTGTGACGCTGTTGGAGAAAATATCTGCAAAATGAAATAACTGTGATCACAGTAATAGTGACACCTAATGAAAATGATTGTACACCTACTGTGTGCGAGCACTTGTTAGGGGTTTCATGTCCTCCCCTGACCCAAAGAGGAAGGAGCTGTTACCAGCCTATTTGACAGATAGTGAGCCTCACTTCTGTGAACCTCAGGACTTCATTCATAAAGCAGGACAATGACACCCACACACCCACCCCCCCCAGGCCTAGTCTGTCACCATCCACTCCACCCAAGCTTCTCACACTTGGTATTTCCTGGAAGCAGTCATTTTTTTTTTTTTCATTGTAAAATGTTTCTGAACAATGAAACTAAATGAATGCACTCATTTGTTGAACCAATATTGATGGCGTGGCCACGGTGCCCGAAACCTGGGGCTGTGTGCCACAGCCCGCAGAGGGCAACAAAATGAAATAGTGGTGGCGGCGAGTTAAAGAAAACACAACTCCAACTGACTTAAATAACACATGAATGATTCACTCCTGTAACTAAAAAACAAAACAAAAAAAAAGCTCTGACAGTAGGTGGGACACAGACACTGATCCTACGAGATCCTACGAGATCCTACCAGACTCTGTTTTGTTTCTGAGATTCTCATTGCAGCCCTTTTTCCATGGGCTGACTTCACTCTCCACTTGCTGCCTACAGGGAACTAAGATGATCCCAGCGCCCACACACCTCACTCATGTGCAGCTTCTAGAATAAACGGGATCTTTTTCCCTAACTCTGAAATATAGACCTTTACTTCACTCTGATTGGACCAGCTTGAACTGATGAGAGGAAAGATAGCTCTGGTTGGCTTCCTTTTGGATTGTCACCATCCTGAGCCCATCACCATGGCAGGAGATGGGCTTATGCAGTTTGAATATGCTAATAAAGTCCCATCCAGAGCTGGGGGTGAGATCTATCCCTCCCTAAGCCCTGGATGCCCAACAATAGCCAAGTCCTGGAAGATGCTGGAGAGGTACCCATAAGTCCTCTGCACCAACATAAATCAGCTCATAATGTAAGTAAATCGTCTATGAAAGAAGAATTTATCAGAAGTTTCCATGGCCTTGGTTTCTCAAAGAAGGCTTTTTGGAAAGAACTAGGAATGGGGAAATGAGCAGGAATTACTGTGTATGAGAAAGAATTCGCCAGACAGAGGGAAGAGTCTGGGCAAAGGCAAGACAGCCCAGAGAGTGAGGCAAGGGCTTGTGGGTAATGAGCTTGTGTGTGTGTGAATGAGCAGCGGGCAGAGGAGAGATCTGGAGAGAAGTGGTTGTAAATGTTGTTAGAAGGTTGGGGAGGCACTGGGGGAGAAGGAGGGAGGTGAGCAAGACAGGGTCTCTAGTCAGCCAACATGGCCTTGAACTTTCTCTCCCTCTTGAGTCACTCAGAGAAGCCAGTGAATTTCCACCCTGCTGTTGTGGGGATTCAGTAAGGTAGAAAGTTGCTGGTGCAGTCAGGAAAAGAAACTTCTACCTCTGCCCAAATGCACCTGCTCTGGACCTCAGTTTGCACACTTGCAAAGCGAGTCTAACGCAGCTACCTCCCTGGGCTGTGCAGACAGTGACTCAATGTGCCAAAATAGTAGACAGGTCTGGTTTGGGGCTACCCCGCTTCCAGTAATTAGGCTAATTTTTAAATGAATTATGATTATTCTGTTTGGTTTGTTTTGTTTTCACATTTTAAAAGGACAGGTTTGTTAAGTAAAGGAGAAAGAGAGGCACCTGCATGGTCACAGGCCAGCCGGAGAGCTGTGATCGTGGTTATTTTTGCTGTTTTTTGTTGTTGTTGTTGTTTTTTATTTTATTTTTTTTATTTATGCATACAAGAACTGGGGTACAGGTCAGAGGTGTGTGGGGGGTGAGAGGATTCACCAGAGACAGAGTGGGGAACAGAACAGGCAGGTTGACTGATATGCACTGCTGAGGGGGGCAGCAGGGAGACAGGAGAGGTCTGCTGCGCCATGTGGGTCAGCTCCTTGGCTGGGATTCAAACTCATGCTGCAGTGGCTGCTGCTGATTGTTCATTGTGCTGAGACTTAACCCCTTGCGCCACCAGGCCCCGTTTGTGGTTATGTTGAACAAGCTAACTTTTAGGGGAATGGATGGCATAGACAAAGGTCGACCTAAAATATTTATTAATTTGATTACACAGATATATACAAAGTGACCCTCCAATCCATTTGGAAATAACAGTTTGTCTCTACTCTACCCTTCGGAGGTCCCAGACCCGGGCATCTCCCTTGGAAGTCACACAGAGCGGTCATTAGGAGTTAAAGTGACCAGCATGTGACCCCAGCATTGCTCTTACAGTGAGCCCTTAGATCAATTGACCTCTGGTTGCCTCTGTGTCCTCATCTGTGAAAATGGCACAGAACTCACTTTGATGGATAATGGAGAGAATTGTATGTGTGTGCATGCCCGTGTCCATGCTAGAAACTCATCCAGTCTTCCTACTCCCCATTTCACAGAATGGAAATCCGAAACACAGAGAGGTTGAGAACGTCACAGAGCCTGTAGGGACCAGGGCTTGAACCCCAGCATTCTGACCTCCAAGTCTACAAACTTAGCTACTAGAAGCACTGGGATACAGCAGGTATCCAGCTTGAGATTAAAGAGGAGGTTCTAGGGCTAGCATGTGGAATTTGAAAATCCTGTTAGTTAAGGCCCCTAAGCCCCCCTACAAAACACATCATTCTTTCACTGGAAGGGTGGGGTATCAACTGAGGAGAGAAAAAACAAGCTGGCAGGTGAGGGGAGTGTGTCAGGAAGTAGATTTGGGATGTATTACAAATGGCAGAAAATTCTAGGGAAGCAGGGGTTTTGAAGCAGGGAGAGCCGAGGAGATCCATCCCAGACATGTTGAGTTTTAGTTACAGAAGAGTCTGACGGTGGGCTACTCAGATCTGAGAAGCGGAAGGAATCTCTCCGGGCTGGGAAGAGGAAATTGCATTCTGGGGTTCAACGGTTAGCCCCTGGTGGAGAGACCCGCCTGAAACATCACACAGTCCCTGCTCTCCGTCTCTCAGACCCCGGGTAAAGGATAAGGAGTCACCCATTGGACGCCTGCCGGAGAACATTGGGATCGTGGCTGCCATTGTCATCGGAGCGCTTGCTGCCGGGTCCCTCGTCGGCGGCATGGCCTACTTCTTGGTGACACGAGGCTGCAGGGGCCAGAATCACAGGTATGGGGACCCCCAAGTCTCTCTTCCCCCATTCAGGTCCATGTATTGATTCTTCCATGATTCCATCACTCATGTCACAAAACAGTCTCATCAAGGGCCTTCCCCTGTTGGCACAGGCGGTTGAGCACAGCGCTGTGAAGCTGTCCGCAGTCTCTGCAGCGCTGGTTCGATCCCGGCCGGCGAGGGTCCCACATGGCACAGCAGACCTCTCCTGTCTCACCCGCTGCTCCCCTCAGCAGTGTATTTCTTCAGTCTGCCTGTTCTGTTCCCCACTCTGTCTCTGTGAATGCTCTCACCATCCCACGCATCTGGCCTGTACCCCAGTTCTTGTATAAAATAAATAAATAAATCTTAAAAACAAACAAAAAAAAAAAAAACCACAGTCTCATTAAGACTTGGAAACCCTGAGGTGAAATGTTTCCTTGCCTGTGTTGGACAGAATTCTGCATTGCAAGGAACAGAAGCCCTACCCTTAAACTGGCCTACCAGCAATTAGGAAGTTTCTTTGTTCCATTTTGTCAAGAAACACTTGTGTTCACCTCTTAACCCTGCTTTTTTTCTGTGGTGGCTTTGCTCCCAGGCACGCCTTCCCCTCGTGATATGGGTAATAGTTCCCATGACACCAGGCTTGTATTCCAGCAGCTCAGCCGCCCCAGAGGGAAGACTGTACCATGTTCCTGATGGTTCCAAAAAAGGCCCCAAGGCTGCCTCTCACTGACCTGCCTCTCACAGGCTTATTCTCACATAAGCCTGTCTCTGTGGCCACGTGCTGGAATGCTCTGGTTACCAAGGCTACATCCCTCATTGTGGACACAAGGCCAGCTCAATCTCCACTCCCACTTTACCTCTCTGACCTCACCTCTTCCACCCGCCCACACCAACTCTGCCTCAACCTTGTTCCTTGATTATTCCTGTCCTGCCACAGGGCCTTTGCACAGGCTGCTTGGAACATTTTTCCTAGGATTTCTGCACAATGGGTCCTCTCAGCTGCTTCAGGCCTCTCTTCAAGTGTTATTTCAAGGAGGCTCCCCAGACCATCCTACTCAAAATTTCACACACCTTCATCGTCTACCCCTTTCCATCTATAGTTTCTTTCATTGCACTTTTCTCTCCCTGACGTTCTACTGTTGATGGCTTATTCCAATTCTCTCTCTCCCCTCTAGAGTGTCTGCTCCAGGAGGCCAGAAGTCTATGTCTGTGTTGTTCCCAGCTGTGTCCCCCGTGCCTTCAACTGTGTCCAGCCCATGGTCGGGTGTCGGGAAACAGTTTGTCTAGTGAATGACAAGTGTGCCATTGTGGTGTCAAGTGAACTTTTTTTTTTTTTTTAAGATTTATTTATTTACGCATACAAGAGCTGGGGTACAGGCCAGAGATGCGGGGGGTGAGAGGATCCACCAGAGACAGAGTGGGAAACAGAACAAGCAGACTGACCAAAATACACTGCTGAGGGGAGCAGCGGGCGAGCCAGGAGAGTCTGCATGCTATGTGGGTAGCTCCCTGGCCGGGATTTGAACTCATGCTGCAGAGGCTGCAGTTTGCTTCATAGTGCGGTGCTTAACCCCTTGCACCACAAGGGAGGCCCTCAAGTGAACTTTTTAAATGAGGGTGTTTGAAAGAGTCAATTTAAAGAAAAACATGAAGGAAATCATGGAACAGGTAGATGGAACAGAATCGTTTAGATGGTAAATGTCATTAGGGAAAGGTTTGTTGGTGTAAAGTGGCTGTGTGACTGAAGATTAGGGCAAAAGCAGCAGTAGGGAAAGGTCTCCCTTGGCTCACTCTGAAGCGGGGACATCAATCTCTGGGGTCTGGGGGGTTTTCCA